AGACCAGGTGTTCCAGAAGAATAAGCATCTTCTGCTTCATCAAGTATACCCACCATATAAATCGTAAATTTGTTCCCATGTTCAAGAACAGACTTCCTTGAATTGAATAAATATGAATGCAAACACTACACATGTATTTACAAAAATATCAGACGTTACATCAGGGTACATCACAATCCAAACAGGGTAATTACTATGTTGAATATTCTTTCAGCTTAAATCTAAAAATCTGTGTAAAAATCAATAATTAAAGTATAACACAGTTCACAATGTGTTTCTATGATTAAAAACACAAACAACACCGTAAAAAGATATTTACATTAGATTTCAAAACATTTTTAATTTATTAGATCAATAATGAAACCTTTAGTTACTGTTTAGTCTCACACCGTCTAAAAACCCGGCAATGCAAACGAATCATCAGACAAAATACATTTTCTGGTGAGTAGATTTTTTTTTATAATATTAATTTATAAGACATAGATTAAGCTCTAAACAAGCGTTTCTGTAAGTTTAAGCATTTCCCAAACTTGATTAATCAAAACGTTTTACCAGACCTACCCGATACATATAGTGGACGTCGAAAGGCATACCAACACCCAGATTTTGATGCTGAAAGCAGTAAGTTAACAAGAAAACATTTCACATACACCCAGATAAACAAGTCCACCACCTTCTGTACCGAGGTACAATCTGAATCATTACAGGATAATGCTGAGGAACTGATGAAAGCAAATTATTTGTCAGGAAATCTGGAAATAGTTGTTACTGTGGATGATTAAGGATTGAATCATACATAGTGTGAAAATTGTTAAAATAAGATAAGGGTACATTAGTCAGTACACAAATGATAATCTGTCATAAGGAAAGTAAATGGCAATTTTATATGTTTAATTTACAAAACAAAAACACCTTCCCTCACCAGTTTTAATACTTTTTATGAAAATAATGCACATTTCCATTATGCAGTATTTTCCAAAAACATTAATTCTATGACTTAACTGAAATCAATACATACACATCACAAATATACATTCTAAGCATTTTAATGTCAAGTCCCTGTATACATTACACATCCCACAATTAATACACAAGTCAACATACCAGATAACACACAATATTCATTATAATTACCGTCCAATATACAACATTGATACCACTGCTAGGGTGTTGCTGAAATTGACATAAAAAAACCAAATAGATATCAAACTTGATATTGGTAAAAGGAGTTTGGTTTATAGTCACAGTAAATTATAACAAAAAAATAAAATTTTCATAAAACCAGTTTCTTTTCAAACCTGGGCAGTTCTTTTCTATATCATTTGAACTTCATCAACTTTATCTTTCTCTACTTTATTTATTCCTGTTCCATGTTTCCCTCCATCCATGTATGTTTCCCTCCCTCTATCTCATGTTTCCCTCTATCCTAGTTTCCTTCCATCTATGTATGTTTCCTCCCTCTATCCCATGTTTCCCTCCCTCTATCTCAAGTTTCCCTCCCTCTATCATGTTTCCTTCCCTCTATCCCATGTTTCCCTCCATCCATGTATGTTTCCCTCTCTCTATCCCATGTTTCCCTCCCTCTATCCCATATTTCCCTCCCTCTATCCCATGTTTCCCTCCATCCATGTATGTTTCCCTCTTTCTATCCCATGTTTCCCTCCCTCTATCCCATGTTTCCCTCTCTCTATCCCATGTTTCCCTCCCTCTATCCCATGTTTCCCTCCATCTATGTATGTTTCCCTCCCTCTATCCCATGTTTCCCTCCCCCTATCCCATGTTTCCCTCTATCCCATGTTTTCCCCCCCTCTATCCCATGTTTCCCTCCCTCTATCCCATGTTTCCCTCCCTCTATCCCATATTTCCCTCTCTCTATCCTATATTTCCCTCCCCCTATCCCATGTTTCCCTCTATCCCATGTTTCCCTCTATCCCATGTTTTTCCCCCCTCTATCCCATGTTTCCCTCCCTCTATCTCATGTTTCCCTCCCTCTATCCCTTATTTCCCTCTATCCCATGTTTCCCTCCATCCATGTATGTTTCCCTCTCTCTATCCCATGTTTCCCTCCCTCTATCCCATATTTCCCTCTCTCTATCCCATATTTCCCTCCCCCTATCCCATGTTTCCCTCTATCCCATGTTTCCCTCTATCCCATGTTTCCCTCCCTCTATCCCATGTTTCCCTCCATCTATGTATGTTTCCCTCCCTCTATCCCATGTTTCCCTCCCCCTATCCCATGTTTCCCTCTATCCCATGTTTTTCCCCCCTCTATCCCATGTTTCCCTCCCTCTATCCCATATTTCCCTCTCTCTATCCTATATTTCCCTCCCCCTATCCCATGTTTCCCTCTATCCCATGTTTCCCTCTATCCCATGTTTTTCCCCCCTCTATCCCATGTTTCCCTCCCTCTATCTCATGTTTCCCTCCCTCTATCCCTTGTTTCCCTCTATCCCATGTTTCCCTCTCTCTATCCCATGTTTCCCTCCCTCTATCCCATATTTCCCTCTCTCTATCCCATATTTCCCTCCCCCTATCCCATGTTTCCCTCTATCCCATGTTTCCCTCTATCCCATGTTTCCCTCTATCCCATGTTTCCCTCCATCCATGTATGTTTCCCTCTCTCTATTCCATGTTTCCCTCTCTATCCCATGTTTTCCTCCATCTATGTATGTTTCCCTCCCTCTATCCCATTTTTCCCTCTCTATCCCGTGTTTCCCTCTCTCTATCCCATATTTCCCTCCCTCTATCCCATGTTTCCCTCTCTATCCCATGTTTCCCTCCCTCTATCCCATGGTATCTCTATGTTTCCTCTTCACCTGAATATATATATGTATCTCTGTAAGCCTTCATATACAGTCCAGACATTGACATTTCCTATTTCATAGATATTTCAAATCTTTTAATATTTTCAGTAATAAATCAATAATTTCCCATATCGGATAGTTAATACACAATCAAAATTTATCTGACCTTTAACAAGTTCAATAAAAATGCCCAGTCTGACATGAGGACCATACCACCACCAGTATATAATACACTGTACAAACTTATTACACACTCGATAACTTCACTCACTCACTGTCATAAAATCTTTTAAGCCTTTTAAACTTCAATTCATATATTAAACAACAGGTATCACAGACCTTGTCTCTATAGCATCATGGTTGTGTGGGTGTATACTGTCAAATTATCAATATTTGTGGGTACTTCATGGTGTCTGTTGCTAATCTTGATTATATATGTAAACATATAACACTTCGTTGTGTACTCACTTCCTTCACACTTTCACTTTAGTGATACTGCCAACCCCCACAGGTAACATTTATAAAAAGGTGTAACTTTAAATGTGTTATTGTAGTATCTGAATATATATTATATCTTACGTGATTCTCTGAATGTTACGAAAGTTAGCGGTCAGAAAAGACAGTTTGTACATAGCACACTGCGTAATCTTTAACACATGTACATCCTTATTTCGTAAAGATGCAGTAAATTATTTCACATCAAATCTGTAGAATATCTGTAACCCTGGTAAAATACTAGCCGCAACATACCACTCGGCTAGAGAGAACTTCTCTTTAGCTCTGTAACCCTGGTAAAATACTAGCCGCAACATACCACTCGGGTAGAGAGAACTTCTCTTTAGCTCTGTAACCCTGGTAAAATACTAGCCGCAACATACCACTCGGCTAGAGAGAACTTCTCTTTAGCTCTGTAACCCTGGTAAAATACTAGCCGCAACATACCACTCGGCTAGAGAGAACTTCTCTTTAGCTCTGTAACCCTGGTAAAATACTAGCCGCAACATACCACTCGGCTAGAGAGAACTTCTCTTTAGCTCTGTAACCCTGGTAAAATACTAGCTGTAATATACCACTCGGCTAGAGAGAACTTCTCTTTAGCTCTGTAACCCTGGTAAAATACTAGTCCCGGGTTCGATTCCTAGCGGAGGTATTGAGATGAGAAATGACCTCTGTTACATATCTATTTCTAAAACTATGATGTTTCCTGCTTTGAGTTTGTTTACAGTAATACATACACCTGAGACAGAGTCCCTGATCAGACATATCATGCACCTTGTTGTACCCAATCAATCAGTCTAGAGACAATGTTTAACTAACCTTACACTAGTGTCATTAATCTTCATATCATTCATCAGTTCTCAGGCTTTTTGTTATAAACAATTTAACAAGACATTAATACACTATTATTCAAATAAAATAATGTAAATAAGTTTTCTTAAAATTTTATCAGTAAATGTTTATATATTTATGAATGATACATGTGCCAGGTTTTATAATACAAAACATTTTTTTAAATAATTTCATTAATGGCTAATTTTCTCTAAATTCTTCAAACTTTAAATTGAAAATTAAGAAATTGATCAGAGACAAGAGAAAGCGTATAAGACATAAATGCCCACTGTCCTATCAGAACAGATGTATATGATTGACTGATATTGATTTCTTTGTTTTCTCAGGTAATGAAGAATCTCTTCCTGGTGTCACAATGGGACAAGACTAACTAGAAAGCAAGCAACAGCTGTGTCCTGGATTTTTTTTATAAGAATGTGAAGTGTAAAGAATGATCAGAAGTGAAATTTGTTTACAAAATCACCATAGACACAGCAACAAAGGCCCTCAAATAAATACCACGCTTTACAGCATAATCCTTGAGCTCCACAGTGAATGTATGATTCAACCCATTGCACTCTTTCTATTTCAAACATTCCTGATAGTGAACATCCCCTCACTGTGGTTATGTTAAGGACTCCATAATTGGTACACAATCTCAACGACACGTCCTGAGGATTTCACCTTCAAGGATTGTAGCATAATCATTGTATTGAAAATAATTAAACAAACAAATTCTACGAGCCATATGACTCCTGGAAAAATATTCTTCATACAAAATTACATCAGAGGAAATCCATCCTCAATATTATCAAATCAATGATTATCTGTGTAATATATTTTTTTCAAATTTTAACTTGAAAAAAAATGTCAAGAATAAAGATACGAACGTTATATTTAGTTGTGATTGCTATATCCATATTCATTTTGTTGTTTTTCATAAATCCACTTAATCTCACAAGTTACTCAACTCTACATAAACAAAACCTGCTGCTTAACATTCAGGAGTCTTCAAGACTACATCATCTCTTCGCAAAAGACACAGAAGATGTAGGAAAAAATGAAACAGACAAAATGACTTCACCAGAAAATGTGACAAAGAAAAGCAAAATCGAAATAGACATGGATTTGCTTGAGCGAATCGAATCACTTCTGACCGACATCAGAAGTAAAAAGCGAGACAACAGGCTAGAAGTTAGCAATGGATTAAAACGTAGAAAGGATCAAGATCACACAGCAACAAATGAAAGAAAAGATATTCCAAAGGTGACAGGTCAAAGGTCAAAAGATACTGATCCAAAAGTTATAGAGTCTAAATCGATGGATGGAAAATTTGGATTTCTGTTGTCAAAATTTCGAAGAAATGAAATTTCAAATGTAACTGATGAGAAACAATTAATAGAACAGAAAAATGCAAAAGAACTTGACAAAGATTCTTTAGGGAATATTCAAGGGGTGACAAAGTATGAAAATGGACACCAGTTATCCCAACAATTAAACACCATAAGATATTCCCCGGAAACTCCCTCAAAAAGTGATAATGAAAATAAAGCTGATGTTTGTGATTCTTGCTTCAAAAATGATTTCAAGTACCTCATCAACCCAGAATCTATGTGCAAGCATTCAGGTGACCTGGATTTATTGATTGTAGTTTCTTCAGCACCATCAGATCGAAATGCTCGTGATTCGCTCCGAAAAACCTGGGCATCAACTTCAATGATGAAATCCATGAATATGAAGTGTGTTTTTTTTGTAGGAATTATTGACAATCACCAAACACAAAGGAGTCTTAAAGAGGAAAGTGAACAGTATCATGATATAGTGCAACTACAATTTAAAGATTCTTACTCCAACTTAACATACAAAACTCTGTCAGAGCTTCGCTGGGTTTCAGAATTTTGTGCAAATACAAAATACGTTATGAAGACTGACAGTGATATGTTCGTGAATACTTACATTTTACCAAATATTCTTAAAGGAATTTCAAATGCAAGGTTCATTGGGGGCCACTGTTGGGGGCCATCACCTCCACATAGGGAAGCAAATTCCAAATGGTACGTTTCTTATAAAAGTTATAGACATTCCTCATTTCCACCAATGTGTTCAGGGACAGGATATATAATCAGTCTGGATCTTGTGCTGGAAATTCTTCAAATATCCAAAAACATTCCTTATTTTCATCTTGAGGATGTATTTATTGCACTCTGTATTAAAAAGTTGAATGTAAAACCTGTGTATCTCCAGGGTTTTTCTAATATGCGTACACCATATGATGCATGTCGTTATCGCTACAAAGTCGTCACTTCTCATGAAATAGCTCCAAACCTATTGGTGAATTATTGGGAAAATATGTTAAAATGTTCAATGAAACTTGAAGAGCAACAGTATCAACCAAAAGATCTATACTTACCTTAAGAAGAAAGAGAAAACTTCTTAATACCAAAGTTCACTATAGAAATAATGTACCTTACGTGCCTTAATCCTCATTACTGTTGTTACAGCAGCACCTTATCACTGTATGTATTGACAATACCACCATACTATGCTTTGTTTATTTAGTTGCCAAAAGTGGCTTAATTTTACTTCATTATTAGTGTAATATTGATCTTAATATCTTTTAAAATTTTTTTTTCACAAATAATATCCACAGTATTTTAGTTTTCAACTCATATAATAAACAATATTTTACTTTGTTCCAAACTTGTCCAAAGAATCCTGTAGCTAATCTGGAACAGTTTGCAAGTATCTACATATCAACTAGGGGACGGACTGAAGCAATCTGTCTCCACTGAATCAACAAGTGAAGACAATATAGTCTGGGGGTGGAGGGAGACAGGGTAACATGTATCCTTATATCAGTGTGTCATACAGGCTAGATTTACTGCTCAATCAGACACTGTCATCTTCAATGTCTGTATCAGTATGACATCAGTTGTAGAATAAAAGTTGTCATGTAAGGAAGTCCCCAAACTATCAAGATAAGAGATGTTTATTCACATCTACTCTTTGTCCATTTTTCCTTTTTTGTAATATTTTACCAGTATATTTATGCCAGTCACTCTTAGGAATGCAGTATGTTACATAGTGGTGTATATAGAGTTATGGCCCTTGGTTCACACAATTTAAACATGTGTGGAGTGAAGAATTGATTCTTATACTAAATACTAGTTATGTTTTTTATAGATTCTCTAATATGTCCTGATGTTGGGTAATGTACAATTTACTGTAATATGATGTAGTGATATGTTTTATGACTTTGTACTTATAAAAGTGATGATGATTTTCCTGAGTATCTGTTTAGTGTTAATTTACTTCTTATTAACAGCCAGGGTTGTTAAATAACATGCCAGGTTTGGGTGGTGGAGGAAAGTCAGAGTTCTTCAAGAAAAACCACATAGTACCAACAGTTCCTAGTGAGTGTCATATGTAGGTCTTCAACACCTAACTCAAAGGTGGAAGGTAAATGATAAAGATGGTTAGACACCTTCACAACTCAGTCACACACCTTAACAACTCAGTCACACACCTTAACAACCCAGTCGCACACCTTAACAACTCAGTCACACACCTTAACAACCCAGTCAGACACCTTAACAACTCAGTCACACACCTAACAACTCAGTCACACACCTTAACAACTCAGTCACACACCTTAACAACTCAGTCACACACCTTAACAACCCAGTCAGACACCTTAACAACCCAGTCACACACCTTAACAACTCAGTCACACACCTTAACAACTCAGTCGCACACCTTAACAACTCAGTCGCACACCTTAACAACCCAGTCACACACCTTAACAACTCAGTCACACACCTTAACAACTCAGTCACGCACCTTAACAACTCAGTCACGCACCTTAACAACTCAGTCACACACCTTAACAACCCAGTCAGACACCTTAACAACTCAGTCACACACCTTAACAACTCAGTCACACACCTTAACAACCGAGTCACACACCTTAACAACCCAGTCACACACCTTAACAACTCAGTCACACACCTTAACAACCCAGTCACACACCTTAACAACTCAGTCACACACCTTAACAACCCAGTCAGACACCTTAACAACTCAGTCACACACCTAACAACTCAGTCACACACCTTAACAACTCAGTCACACACCTTAACAACTCAGTCACACACCTTAACAACTCAGTCGCACACCTTAACAACTCAGTCGCACACCTTAACAACTCAGTCGCACACCTTAACAACCCAGTCAGACACCTTAACAACTCAGTCACACACCTTAACAACTCAGTCACACACCTTAACAACTCAGTCACACACCTTAACAACTCAGTCACACACCTTAACAAATCAGTCACACACCTTAACAACTCAGTCTGCGCCTTAACAAATCCCGTTATTCATACTTTTCACTGTTGTTTGGTTTTCCGTCGCTGCGACTCCTCCCATTGCTGGGTATCATCTGACCAACAAACATCAGTGTTCTGGTGACGTAACAAAATCTCTGATTTATATTAATCAGAGTTATGGCCCTTATACCAAGAAATCCCCTATTTGTTCTAGATTAGTTGTATCATTTATCTTGTTTGAATAGCTCTGTAGAATGTTTCACACAGTATGCTAAATGGCCCTTCTCAGAAAAGATGACACAACGTTTGGTTCATGGTTACGTGTATGATGTTGTTATCTACTTTCCATTGTTCCATATTTCTCTTATTCAGCTATTAAAATTGAGTTAAAAATTACTTTTTTGTTGAAAATATGTTAAGTTGATAAAGTAATAAAATTAAACTGTAATTTAACGATTGTTGTACAAGTTTTTATAACAGTACTGACCCCATACACTGTGATAATACTGACCTCATACAGTGTGACAGTACTGACCCATACAGTTTGACAGTACTGACCCCTTACACTGTGACAGTACTGACCCCATACACTGTGACAATACTGACCCATACACTGTGATAGTACTGACCCCATACACTGTTATAGTACTGACCCCATACACTGTGACAGTACTGACCCCATACACTGTGATAGTACTGACCCCATACAGTGTGACAGTACTGACCCCATACACTGTGACAGTACTGACCCCATACACAGTGACAGTACTGACCCCATACACTGTGATAGTACTGACCCATCCACTGTGACAGTACTGACCCCATACACTGTGATAGTACTGACCCATCCACTGTGACAGTACTGACCCATCCACTGTGACAGTACTGACCCCATACACTGTGATAGTACTGACCCATACACTGTGACAGTACTGACCCCATACACTGTGACAGTACTGACCCCATACACTCTGATAGTACTGACCCCATACACTGTGACAGTACTGACCCCGTACACTGTGACACTACTGACCCCATACACTGTGACAGTACTGACCCCATCCACTGTGAGAGTACTGACCCCATACACTGTGACAGTACTGACCCCATACACTGTGACAGTACTGACTCCATACATTGTGACAGTACTGACCCCATACACTGTGACAGTACTGACTCCATACACTGTGACAGTACTGACCCCATACACTGTGATAGGACTGACCCCATACACTGTGACAGTACTGACCACATACACTGTGACAGTACTGACCCCATACACAGTGACAGTAGTGACCCTATACACTGTGACAGTACTGACTCCATACACTGTGACAGTACTGACCCCATACACTGTGATAGTACTGACCCATCCACTGTGACAGTACTGACCCCATACACTGTGATAGTACTGACCCATACACTGTGACAGTACTGACCCCATACACTCTGATAGTACTGACCCCATACACTGTGACAGTACTGACCCCATACACTGTGACAGTACTGACCCCATACACTGTGACAGTACTGACCCCATACACTGTGACAGTACTGACCCCATCCACTGTGACAGTACTGACCCCATACACTGTGACAGTACTGAACCCATACACTGTGACAGTACTGAACCCATACACTGTGAGAGTACTGACCCCATACACTGTGACAGTACTGACCCCATACACTGTGACAGTACTGACCCCATACACTGTGACAGTACTGACTCCATACACTGTGACAGTACTGACTCCGTACACTGTGACAGTACTGACCCCATACACTGTGACAGTACTGACCCCGTACACTGTGACAGTACTGACCCCGTACACTGTGACAGTACTGACCCCATACACTGTGACAGTACTGACCCCATACACTGTGACAGTACTGACCCCATACACTGTGACAGTACTGACCCCATACACTGTGACAGTACTGACCCCATACACTGTGACAGTACTGACCCCATACACTGTGACAGTACTGACCCCATACACTGTGACAGTACTGACCCCATACACTGTGATAGGACTGACCCCATACACTGTGACAGTACTGAACCCATACACTGTGACAGTACTGACCCCATACACTGTGACAGTACTGACCCCATACACTGTGACAGTACTGACCCCATCCACTGTGACAGTACTGACCCATACACTGTGACAGTACTGACCCCATACACTGTGACAGTACTGACCCCATACACTGTGACAGTACTGACCCCATACACTGTGATAGGACTGACCCCATACACTGTGACAGTACTGACCCCATACACTGTGACAGTACTGACCCCATACACTGTGATAGGACTGACCCCATACACTGTGACAGTACTGACCCCATACACTGTGACAGTACTGACCCCATACACTGTGACAGTACTGACCCCATACACTGTGACAGTACTGACCCCATCCACTGTGACAGTACTGACCCCATACACTGTGACAGTACTGACCCCATACACTGTGACAGTACTGACCCCATACACTGTGACAGTACTGACCCCATACACTGTGACAGTACTGACCCCATACACTGTGATAGGACTGACCCCATACACTGTGACAGTACTGACCCCATACACTGTGACAGTACTGACCCCATACACTGTGACAGTACTGACCCCATACACTGTGACAGTACTGACCCCATACACTGTGACAGTACTGACCCCATACACTGTGACAGTACTGACCCCATACACTGTGACAGTACTGACCCCATACACTGTGACAGTACTGACCCCATACACTGTGATAGTACTGACCCCATACACTCTGATAGTACTGACCCCATACACTGTGACAGTACTGACCCCATACACTGTGACAGTACTGACCCCATATACTGTGACAGTACTGACCCCATACACTGTGACAGTACTGACCCCATACACTGTGACAGTACTGACCCCATACACTGTGACAGTACTGACCCCATACACTGTGACAGTACTGACCCCATACACTGTGACAGTAGTGACCCCATACACTGTGACAGTACTGACCCCATACACTGTGACAGTAGTGACCCCATACACTGTGACAGTACTGACCCCATACACTGTGACAGTACTGACCCCATACACTGTGACAGTACTGACCCCATACACTGTGACAGTACTGACCCCATACACTGTGACAGTACTGACTCCATACACTGTGACAGTACTGACCCCATACACTGTGACAGTACTGACCCCGTACACTGTGACAGTACTGACCCCATACACAGTGACAGTACTGACCCCATACACTGTGACAGTACTGACCCCATACACTGTGACAGTACTGACCCCATACACTGTGACAGCACTGACCCCATACACTGTGACAGTACTGACCCCATACACTGTGACAGTACTGACCCCGTACACTGTGACAGTACTGACCCCGTACACTGTGACAGTACTGACCCCATACACTGTGATAGTACTAATGCACTGTTATATTATCAACTCATCCTTCAGAAACAATGCTGATGACACCAGGACAGTACATTTGTAACACTACACAATAACATCACTTTTTGTGCCATAGTGATGGGATCTTTTGTTGATGATTACCTCACCGAATATCATGAAGGAGGTCCACCATTTGCCGTTGTACTATAATATATTTTCATAGGACTCTGGTTTAAAAAAGAAATGTACTGATTTTAACAGATTTTGATGCCCATGAAATCAAGGAAAATAAATGCCCTTGTGTACTTAGGTGATTATATCCTATCTAGTGTATAGAGCAGGTGTGGAATGTATCTCAAACACATTTACATCAACACAGGGCGATCCACCACCTACTGAGAAACACAAAATGTTCTGGGTACAGATCACATTCATACATCTAGGATCGTCTCGACTGACTGATCTACCATGGCTCTAAAACCACTCTGAAGTTTTAATACATTAGGCTAAAATGTCAATTGTGTCTAGTTTTATAAATGTCTCTAAACAATAGGAAATGTCAGAAGCGGAAACATTTTCTTTTTTTTGTAACATATCCTGATCATTTTATTTGTGAAAGTGCAACCATAACTACTACAAACTACAATGTATTAGAGAGGAAGTGTAGAGTGTGAGAGAAAAATGTCAGATCCTACTTAACTCGTCTGCACAGAATAGCCAGAAGGTTAGGTACAAAGTATCAGATTAAGATGGCCAAAATACCTACAAATGTAAATAAACTGTAATGTTGGATTTAAATTTAGTGAATAAGAAACTTGTTACACTGTGAAAACCATTAAAATGCTGATGAATCCTAATTTGTCTCTGAGAGAAGTGAATGTGGAAATAAGGTCTCATTTTGTTAAAAAAAGGGAGAACACCAGGGAAACAGGGAAAACAGGAGGACATCAGGGAACACAGGAGAACATCAGGGAAAACAGGAGAACACCAGGGAAACAGGGAACACAGGAGAACATCAGGGAAAACAGGAGAACACCAGGGAAACAGGGAACACATGAGAACATCAGGGAACACAGGAGAACATCAGGGAAAACAGGAGAACACCAGGGAAACAGGGAACACAGGAGAACATCAGGGAAAACAGGAGAACATCAGGGAAGACAGGAGAACACCAGGGAACACAGGAGAACATCAGGGAACACAGGAGAACATCAGGGAACACATGAGAACATCAGGGAAAACAGGAGAACACCAGGGAAACAGGGAACACAGGAGAACATCAGGGAACACAGGAGAACATCAGGGAAAACAGGAGAACACCAGGGAAACAGGGAACACAGGAGAACATCAGGGAAAACAGGAGAACATCAGGGAAGACAGGAGAACACCAGGGAACACAGGAGAACATCAGGGAACACAGAACATCAGGGAACACAGGAGAACATAAGGGAACACAGGAGAACACCAGGGAAAACAGGAGAACATCAGGGAAAACAGGAGAACACCAGGGAAAACAGGAGAACATCAGGGAAAACAGGAGAACACCAGGGAACACAGGAGAACATCAGGGAAAACAGGAGAACACCAGGGAACACAGCATAAGACCAAGGAACACAGGAGAACATCAGGGAAAACAGGAGAACATCAGGGAATACAGGAAAACACCAGGGAACACAGGAGAACATCAGGGAAAACAGGAGAACATCAGGTAAAACAGGAGAACACTAGGGAACACAGGAGAACATCAGGGAACATAGGAGAACATCAGGGAACACAGGAGAACACCAGGGAACACAGGAGAACATCAGGGAAAACAGGAGAACACCAGGGAAAACAGGAGAACATCAGGGAAAACAGGAGAACATCAGGGAAGACAGGAGAACACCAGGGAAAACAGGAAAACACTTGAGACCATAGAAGTTACTCAGGAAACATAGAAGTACCCCAGGGGACATGGGAGTTTCTGAAGGAACACAGGAGTACTTTAGGGTACACAGAAGACGAGAAATGCATAACAATCACCACCTCACACAGTATCTAACAATATGCAATTATAATATTCCCCACAATCTGCATCTCACAACGTACTATATGATAAAAACGAAAATAGTGTACCTAAAGCAGAAAACTGACATAGATAAAGGGACACAATTCTCAATTAGAAATTGTTTACAAATAAACTACAACCTGAATGGCATATACACTATTACAGCACGTATCCAGAAGAAAACATATCTACTTTTGTAAGAAATTTTCTTCATATTAACTTGTCATCTTTATTTTCTAATACTTGTGTTACTGTGACTAAATCATCATCATTTTGACCATCACAATAATGATGGACAATTATTGTAACTGTTTCATCCAAGAGATTGTTCAGATGACAGATAATTCAACAAAGCTAAAGTTTCATTAGAAGTTTCATAACATGGCATTAAATCTTTACAACCACCTGACAATTACACAATTTACAGTTATTGTTGTAAAGCTGTGTCATTCATATTGTTATAAATGCCATACACAGGATGGTCAAGTCTGGAATTGAATGCTATTTTCAAAACTTGTCAGTCATTTAGCATCAATATATTCACATTTAGAAGCTCTGTTGTGTGGTCTTATTGATGTAAAAGTTTGTGATCATGATGCTTTATCCTTACACATGGGAGATAATGTGTCACAAACTGTCTGCAGCTTACCTAACTATGCTGCTTCTTTCAGGCTAAAATATAACTGACATAAAGTCATAGTACCATGAAAACTGACTGACTAAGAGGATCACAAACATTGATGAAATTGGAGAAAATTCCACAACAGCTGATGGCAAATAAGTATCTATAATTCATCTTCTAAGGATTTAAAAGGATTTCTTCAGTGGTGTACAGAACTTTCATAATGAGAGTAAAATTCAAAATGTTCTTCAAACTATTGAGGACGACAAAGCTGAAATAAAACACTAGAATATTGTATGTATTACCAGACAAGTGTGAGGAAACACCTTCCAATGACTTCACCATTAATATACTCAGCATATTGTCACATCTCAGTAAAAAGGTACAGAAAAATACAGACCATCAGTATGATATCACTTACAGCTGTTGATGTAAGTAGAATTCTGAGTATGATATCACTTACAGCTGTTGATGTAAGTAGAATTCTGAGTATGATATCACTTACAGCTGTTGATGCAGGTGAATTCCCATGTCAGGTAGGGCAGGTTGGGTATTATGATATCACTTACAGCTGTTGATGTAGTACAATAATTTGAAAAAAATATGATATCACTTACAGCTGTTGATGTAAGTAGAATTCTGAGTATGATATCACTTACAGCTGTTGATGTAAGTAGAATTCTGAGTATGATATCACTTACAGCTGTTGATGTAAGTAGAATTCTGAGTATGATATCACTTACAGAGTAAGGACCTGCAGGTGCTTGTCCTGTCTTCTCCCATGTCAGGTAGGGCAGGTTGGGTATTGTACCTGGTTGTTTTCTCTCTCGTTTACGTACTCGTGTCTCTTGGTAGTTTTTGCCTACAATAAATTGAAAAAAATATAAAAAGATATAGAATTAAAATGGAATTCATCAAGTATCATATCCTGAGGGAGTGATCTCCCCTGATCAACAATTTTACTACAGTGGTATACTCTGGCTATAATCTACTACAAGAGTGATCTCCCCTGATCATTAGTTTACCACAGTGGTATACTCGGCTATAATTTACTACAAGAGTGATCTCCCCTGATCATTAGTTTACTACAGTGGTATACTCAGCTATAATTTACTACAAGAGTGATCTCCCCTGATCATTAGTTTACTACAGTGGTATACTCGGCTATAATTTACTACAAGAGTGATCTCCCCTGATCATTAGTTTACTACAGTGGTATACTCAGCTATAATTTACTACAAGAGTGATCTCCCCTGATCATTAGTTTACTACTGTGGTATACTCGGCTATAATTTACTACAAGAGTGATCTCCCCTGATCATTAGTTTACTACAGTGGTATACTCTGACTATCATTTCCTACAAGAGGGATCTCCCCTGATCATTAGTTTACTACTGTGGTATACTCGGCTATAATTTACTACAAGAGTGATCTCCCCTGATCATTAGTTTACTACAGTGGTATACTCTGACTATCATTTCCTACAAGAGTGATCTCCCCTGATCATTAGTTTTACTACGGTGGTATACTCGGTTATAATTTACTACAAGAGTGATCTCCCCTGATCATTAGTTTACTACAGTGGTATACTCTGGCTATCATTTCCTACAAGAGTGATCTCCCCTGATCATTAGTTTACTACAGTGGTATACTCTGGCTATCATCTCCAACAAGAGTGATCTCCGCGATCACTAGTTTACTACAGTGGTATACTCTTGCAACCATTTCCTACAAGAGTGATCTCCCCTGATCATTAGTTTTACTACGGTGGTATTCTCTGACACTTTTTTTTTCTTTAGTTTTTGTTTTCCTACCATGATTTCACCTGATTTTTAATTTAACTAGAATGGTCATCCATGTTTTTTTTTTCTTTTTTCAAATTAATTCTTTTTCCGTCTTCCCTTATATGATGCAGGTTGAGGAGTATTGTGAATAAGTTTACCGACTGTCTTCATTACCTCACAAACAAACACACAAACACCCCTCACACACCCCCTCCCCCACACACAAACCAACCCCCTCACACACAAACCAACCCCCCCCCCCCCACACACACAACACCCCCTACACACACATACAATCCCCCCCAAACACACACACATCCCTCCCACATACAACCCCCCCCCACACACAAACCCACAACTACACACACAACCCTTCCACACACACACATCCCCCCCAACACACACAACCGAACCCTCGCACACACACACACACAACCCAGCCCTCACACACACACACACACACACACACACAACACAACCCTCACACACACACAACCCCCACCTACACACACACAACACAACCCCCCAACACACGCAACTCAACCCTCACACACACACAACCCCCTCCCCTACTTCCCCCCACACACACACAACCCAACCCTCACACACACAACTTCCACCACACACACACACACAACCCCCCCACACACACACACACACAACCCAACCCTCACACACACAACCCCCACCTACACACACACAACAACCCCCAACACACGCAACCCAACCCTCACACACACACAAAACCCCCTCCCCTACACACACAATCCCCCCCACACACACAACCCGACCCTCACACACACAAAACTTCCACCTACACACACACACACACAACCCAACCATCACACACACACAACCCCCCCCCCACCCCCCACCCCCCCCACACAACAACCCTCCCCCCCCCACACAACCCCCCCTCCCCCTTCCCCTCCCTCCCCGCCACCCTCTACAGTTCCCTCTGATAACTTATTATACTTGAGTGATATTGTCACGCTACCTAAACATGTATTGTCCCAGGTGTTGAATCTGTGTGTATCAGGTTCTGTAATGGCACGTTCATCTGGTTCCCACACACTCTCCACCTCTATCTCTAAGTCTTCCTCCTCCTGTTCCTCAGTCACTTCCTCCTGGTAAACAGAGACAACTCAACCAATTAGGTAATGAACGAGATCATAAATATGTCAAATTCTACTGATCTCTGTATATCTCCCATGTTATCACACACGCTAAAATACCAGAATGACAGATTCAGAACTCGGTAATGTTGCAATGTATTGGGTATGTCATCTTAATATCTGATGGAAATGTCAAAAATATAGATCAGTCATAAAATAAATCTCCAAAATTGCAAAACAAGGCTCTGTTTTATTTTGGTAAGAAATAAATTATTGTAACAGTAAACTCACAAACTGTTATTTATGAAAACGCTGGTCAGTCAGGCAAGTTTTCTTTTTTTCTCTATTTTGCAGTAAACAAGTCATCCCAAATTATACAAATTATGATTCCACTTTGACATGCAATATATATGCAATAAAAAATGGCCAAGTTTGATCAAAATCCTTCAAGGAATGAAGCTGTTAGAGTGCTGACAAGGATTTTCTAGGAACAATAACAGTGTTAACCATCCTTTATAAGTGTGTGGAGTTTCATAATAAATCCCTGGTGAGATGAAGCCTCTAATGTTCTGACAAACTTTTACAATACATATGTACAGGAAGATTCCTATGTCCTATTGCCAACACTTGTCATGAAAGCAATCAAGGAATACTGCCCTCTCCTTGTTTTGTTCAACTTTATCAACTTTGTTCACTAATGATAAATTGATATCCCATGTTCAATAACTATTTTTAGATCAGGCCAAGAGTTTAAAAATTGTCTGAGAGGACATAAAATATTTTAACAAACAGTCATAAAGTTATGTTTGAACAAAGATATTATATATATATAGTGTCTACAAAATAGTAAAGATACTCAGATGGTCAGAGTAAAACAGAGTTATTTCCCTTACACTGTTTCCTTCTTCATCTTCTAACTCCTCAGCTGGGTCATAGGTCTCAATTTTCCAATGTTCTTCCTGGAAACAAAGATAAAATATTTATACACCAAACAAATATTTTGTCAAATTCAAAATGGGTTTTTTTTCAAAGGTTTATACAAAAGTTCTTATTACAAAAGAATGTAAAAATAACAATCATAACAATTCATCAAAGCTTTATGATTGTGGGAAAGATCATGATAGAGTACTTTAGTCTCAATAAAAGTCAAAATTGAATCATACTTGATCAAAGAATTCTTTAAGTATCAAAAACCAGTATCACAAATGACCTTAAACTGATTTTTCCCAACGATAAAACTGACAGTTAATGACCTTATCAGTGAATGACCTTGATATTTGGTGACCTTGACATCTGGTGAATTAGACATACCTGTCCAAAGATTCCAATTTTGTTGCCACGAACATCATGGACAGCCACACTACAGTCAGAGGAAGCCGTGATGATAAGGCTACGTTCATTTCTCTCACACATATCAATAGAGTTGATCATGTCTGTATGTGCCTGGAACTGACACTTCATCGCTGAAAATATGAAACAGATCAAATATTTAGACCAATTCCTTTATAAATAGATAAAAATAACTATTCATAGATCACAGATCTCAAGTCATGTTTCAAATATTTAAATTTTCCCAGATCTTCGGCGAGATTTATCATCTTTTCTATTTGACCCTAAAAATAGGTCAATGTCATTTATATCAATAAACACTGAAGCAATCATTCTTACATATTTAGTCTCTTACATTTTTGTTACTATATTGCAGTATGATGTTTGGCAAATATTGCTGGCAAAAAAAAATTAAAGAAACTTGATTTTATGTGGGGTTTTTCTATTTCAAATTACTGAAGCTTGCTATAGACAAAGAGAAAAAAACATCATACTGCAATATAGTAACAAAAATGTAAATGGTTAAAAAACTTCCAATCAAATTCATCTCCACAACCATATAAGGACATGATCTGAATCCCAGGTATCAATCACAGACTTAAGTATGGTCACTCTATGAGAGTGGCCTCTGTACAGTTTTAGTGATAGTCTTACTCCATAGCTAAAAACTTAACACCTGAAAAAACGGAGTGTGACATTCCAGGACAGGACATGAGTACCACTTATGAGAATTTGACTTCAGTAAGACTGATGAAGACCGTAGTAAAACTCACGAGGACTTGACTTGAGTATGACATCAGTCTGGCTATGCATGCAGTATTCTGTGATCTCCCACACTTTGATATTTCCATCAGCATCACCAGTCACTAACCATTGATTGAGTTTATCAGTTGCCATGATGATGCTTGCTGCACAAAAAAATTTGCACTGATTTACACAACAATAGATAAAGCTGTTTTAATTCAGTTTTCTCAACTTAAAACTTTCATTTTTATTTACAGTAAAAATTGTCTCTGATGATTGATAGGGAGATGATTGACAGATATAAAATGACGATCAGGATACTAACCATTAGTGTGGGCTGTGAACTCTGCCACTAAAGAACTGGTAGAAGTGTTCCAGAACCTAACAATGCCACCACCACCACATGACATCAGATTGGCACCACCACCACCAGAATTAGTTTTTCTGCTTTCCAAGAAAATCAGTCGTGAAACGGCAAATCCAAATTCATTCTGTAGAAAACAAACAGAAATTACTTAAAATATAAAGAAACATTCAATTAAACTTTCTCAGAGTGTGACACGAAGTGAATGTGAAGATACATCCAATAAGTATCAAACTGATGGTCATTTTTAGACTGTCCAATTGGAGTGGAGACACAATAAAGTAAAAATACAAAGTCAACCTACCTGTTCTTCTTTAGTTCCACCATTAGAAGTAGATTTAGGACGAGACTTGGGACGAGAGTTGGGGCGAGATCTTGGGCATGATTCAGCATCGGATTCCAATGTTCTTGTCACCTGCAGGAAATGAAATTATAGTACGTCATTAATCTATACTTTGGTTTTCTTTACTTTATTGTCATGTTGATGTCGTGATTTGACATTACTGTGAATCATTAAATTTAGTGTTGTAATAATTTTCCTTGATTTTTTGTGTACTTTTATTTTAAGAATTCATTAGTCCACACCCTGTTTAAATGTGATGAAAGTGATTCATTGAACTACTTGTATCCTGGAAATTAAGTGAAACTGTATTCTTTCTTAAAAACCACAAATATTGAGCATCATGTAATATAGGATTTTACAGTGTAGCATTTCAGTGCCTCCACGGCTACTCAAATCAAACATTTATATCTAAAGGAAACTCATGTACAACCCTGTATATAAATCTTCACATTTACAATGTTTCCAGTATATCAATAAAAGAAGAAACAGATTCCACCAGAAAAGTAAACAGATCAGTGTCATTTTGACACTTCTCCTCACTCATAAAACAGGCTTTGATAATCATTCGGAACAAACTTTTCTAATGACATCCAATTCTGACTCACATCTCTATTTGTAGAAGAAATAATGGATTTTGTGCTAGATTTCAGCATCTTCCGGCGAGAGCGTTGACTCAAATGACGTGATGCCTGCTCAGAGTTTGTATTCCAGACAACGATTTCTCCATCATATGATCCAGTTACCATGGTGTTTGGACTCGTAAAGGTACAGCAAAGAATATCCTCTGGATGTTCCTAAATCAAAAAATGCATCTTATAATATACTATAATATACAGGGATATGATACACCAGGTCACTATAATATACAGTTAGGATATGATACACCAGGTCACTATAATATACAGTTAGGATATGATACACCAGGTCACTATAATATACAGAGATATGATACACCAGGTCACTATAATATACAGGGATATGATACACCAGGTCACTATAATATACAGTTAGGATATGATACACCAGGTCACTATAATATACAGTTAGGATATGATACACCAGGTCACTATAATATACAGTTAGGATATGATACACCAGGTCACTATAATATACAGGGATATGATACACCAGGTCACTATAATATACAGTTAGGATATGATACACCAGGTCACTATAATATACAGTTAGGATATGATACACCAGGTCACTTTAGGATATGATACACCAGCTCACTATAATATACAGGGATATGATACACCAGGTCACTATAATATACAGTTAGGATATGATACACCAGGTCACTATAATATACAGAGATATGATACACCAGGTCACTATAATATACAGGGATATGATACACCAGCTCACTATAATATACAGGGATATGATACACCAGCTCACTATAATATACAGAGATATGATACACCAGGTCACTATAATATACAGGGATATGATACACCAGGTCACTATAATATACAGGGATATGATACACCAGGTCACTATAATATACAGTTAGGATATGATACACCAGGTCACTATAATATACAGGGATATGATACACCAGGTCACTATAATATACAGTTAGGATATGATACACCAGGTCACTATAATATACAGGGATATGATACACCAGGTCACTATAATATACAGTTAGGATATGATACACCAGGTCACTATAATATACAGTTAGGATATGATACACCAGGTCACTATAATATACAGAGATATGATACACCAGGTCACTATAATATACAGGGATATGATACACCAGGTCACTATAATATACAGGGATATGATACACCAGGTCACTATAATATACAGTTAGGATATGATACACCAGGTCACTATAATATACAGAGATATGATACACCAGGTCACTATAATATACAGGGATATGATACACCAGCTCACTATAATATACAGGGATATGATACACCAGCTCACTATAATATACAGGGATATGATACACCAGGTCACTATAATATACAGGGATATGATACACCAGCTCACTATAATATACAGGGATATGATACACCAGCTCACTATAATATACAGGGATATGATACACCAGGTCACTATAATATACAGTTAGGATATGATACACCAGGTCACTATAATATACAGAGATATGATACACCAGGTCACTATAATATACAGGGATATGATACACCAGGTCACTATAATATACAGGGATATGATACACCAGGTCACTATAATATACAGTTAGGATATGATACACCAGGTCACTATAATATACAGGGATATGATACACCAGGTCACTATAATATACAGTTAGGATATGATACACCAGGTCACTATAATATACAGGGATATGATACACCAGGTCACTATAATATACAGTTAGGATATGATACACCAGGTCACTATAATATACAGTTAGGATATGATACACCAGGTCACTATAATATACAGTTAGGATATGATACACCAGGTCACTATAATATACAGGGATATGATACACCAGGTCACTATAATATACAGTTAGGATATGATACACCAGGTCACTATAATATACAGGGATATGATACACCAGGTCACTATAATATACAGTTAGGATATGATACACCAGGTCACTATAATATACAGAGATATGATACACCAGGTCACTATAATATACAGTTAGGATATGATACACCAGGTCACTATAATATACAGTTAGGATATGATACACCAGGTCACTATAATATACAGTTAGGATATGATACACCAGGTCACTATAATATACAGTTAGGATATGATACACCAGGTCACTATAATATACAGGGATATGATACACAAGGTCACTATAATATACAGTTAGGATATGATACACCAGGTCACTATAATATACAGGGATATGATACACCAGGTCACTATAATATACAGTTAGGATATGATACACCAGGTCACTATAATATACAGTTAGGATATGATACACCAGGTCACTATAATATACAGTTAGGATATGATACACCAGGTCACTATAATATACAGTTAGGATATGATACACCAGGTCACTATAATATACAGTTAGGATATGATACACCAGGTCACTATAATATACAGTTAGGATATGATACACCAGGTCACTATAATATACAGTTAGGATATGATACACCAGGTCACTATAATATACAGTTAGGATATGATACACCAGGTCACTATAATATACAGTTAGGATATGATACACCAGGTCACTATAATATACAGGGATATGATACACCAGGTCACTATAATATACAGTTAGGATATGATACACCAGGTCACTATAATATACAGTTAGGATATGATACACCAGGTCACTATAATATACAGTTAGGATATGATACACCAGGTCAGTATAGTACAAATATAGATAGAATCTTAATAATTATAAAAATTGTAAGTTCAGTACACTAATTAACATCTATGCTCATTGATAAGCAAAACATTCTGGCTGAATGAGATATGATCTGAACATATATTTATTATAAACATATTGACAACTAACCTGTCCTCCTTTCCATTCTGACGGTTGGACTGTTGAGAACAGGGCACCAGTGTCTCGCAGAGCTGAGTCTCGGAATATTGTAACATATCTACAGCAAAATAATCAACCAATAACACAATAAAATCTAGACATCTGATTTAATATAATTGTATTATAATATATAATTATAATTTATGTAATTGTAATATTTGATAATGGTAGATTTGGTATTGTTTATAAAACTATTTTGTTTAGGTTTAACTGTTGGAAGTAGTCTGGCACAGCTCATTACAGCCTTGTGATGTTGTGGCAAATCAAAATCAAGTTAAAACAATCTGTGCTAATAATTAAACAAAGGGAGATAACTTTAATACAAAGGATTTAACCTTGAAATAAACCACACTAATTAACAAACCTTGCCCATCCCACCACAACTACGCTGCGTTTGAGGTTCAGGACTTGTCCTACATCAGCTGGTTGACCACCAGCACACTCCAGAGAATGAGAGTTGTGACCGTTAAAATCCCAGATCTGTAAAATAGGAACAAGATTTCTGATATATATCACTAAATCAAATAGTTGATTTGACTTACAAATGAACAATGATATTTCTTAAATACAAGGAAAAGATATTTGACAATAGAATCCTTAGTTTTATAGTCATAGTCTTAAAATTAAATTATTTATAATAATCAATGAGTATTCTATGTAACAGAACTATTTTATCCATAAAAATCAAGAAAAAATCAATGGTAATGTACAATGTATTTCATTTCTTTATCTGAGAAGGCTAAATCACAATATGTAACACCTGCGAAATATTTGAAAAAGTAGTAAAAGAATTATGTTTCAAATTATTCACAAATTGAGAGTCAAACCATGATCTTAAAGGGACAAAAACAGTTATAAATATTGAAGAACAAAAACAAATAATCTGACTTCAAATATTTATTTATTTTTTATTGAGGAAATATTTCTTTGCCTTCCATTTTGTTGGGTAATATTTTACCTTAACAGTGCCATCGGTACTGCCCGTAAATAACTTTGTACCAGTTGGATCTTGGGACAGACATGTGACCTCTGCATTGCCATGGGCACTGCTGAACTGTTTGACCTTTTGACCTGTATCAATCATCCAGATAATGAGGATTCCTGACTGACAAACACTGACCACCTAAGTAAAAAAGAAACGAATACAAATGAACAACATGAAGTAATATATGAGATAAGTAATACTGGTATTATCTGTAGTTTTATACAACATGAACCAAACGGTAAAATGTCTTATCAAATACTTTAAAGCTAAATTCCACTTTTATTTTTATATGACATTAATGGCCCAAATACAGCAGTAGTACATATATCTATCCTATAATATAAGAACTTTAATCTCAAACTCTGAAGATTACATTAAGGCAATATACCTATCATACATTACCTAATTAACAACTATATGTATTATATCATTGTTAAAAGGGAGGATTGAAAAAGGTCACTTCCTACTGGACTTGAACTAATGCCCTCTATTTCTCATCCTAGCTTAAACTCCACAGGACTCAAACTAGAGACATCTAGGTGTCATCCTGGTGCAGCTTCTACAGGACTCAAACTAGAGACATCTAGGTGTCATCCTGGTGCAGCTTCTACAGGACTCAAACTAGAGACATCTAGGTGTCATCCTGGTGCAGCTTCTACAGGACTCAAACTAGAGACATCTAGGTGTCATCCTGGTGCAGCTTCTACAGGACTCAAACTAGAGACATCTAGGTGTCATCCTGGTGCAGCTTCTACAGGACTCAAACTAGAGACATCTAGGTGTCATCCTGGTGCAGCTTCCACAGAATGCTATCTAGAGACATCTCTCAGCCTGGCCCAGCCCCTACACGACCTGCACTAGAGATCTCTCAGACTCAGCCTGGCCCAGCCCCTACACGACCTGAACTAGAGATCTCTCACTCTCAGTCTGGCCCAGTCCCTACACGACTTAAACTGGAGATCTCTCAGACTCAGCCTGGCCCAGTCCCTACACGACCTGAACTAGAGATCTCTCACTCTCAGTCTGGCCCAGTCCCTACAGGACCTGAACTAGAGATCTCTCATTCTCAGCCTGGCCCAGCCCCTACAGGACCTGAACTAGAGATCTCACGACCTGAACTAGAGATCTCTCACTCTCAGCCTGGCCCAGTCCCTACACGACTTAAACTAGAGATCTCTCACTCTCAGCCTGGCCCAGCCCCTACAGGACCTAAACTAGAGATCTCTCATTCTCAGCCTGGCCCAGCCCCTACAGGACCTGAACTAGAGATCTCTCACTCTCAGCCTGGCCCAGCCCCTACAGGACCTAAACTAGAGATCTCTCACTCTCAGCCTGGCCCAGCCCCTACAGGACCTAAACTAGAGATCTCTCACTCTCAGCCTGGCCCAGCCCCTACACGACTTAAACTGGAGATCTCTCACTCTCAGCCTGGCCCAGCCCCTACAGGACCTGAACTAGAGATCTCTCACACTCAGCCTGGCCCAGCCCCTACAGGACCTGAACTAGAGATCTCTCACTCTCAGTCTGGCCCAGTCCCTACACGACTTAAACTGGAGATCTCTCACTCTCAGCCTGGCCCAGCCCCTACAGGACCTAAACTAGAGATCTCTCACATTCAGCCTGGCCCAGCCCCTACAGGACCTGAACTAGAGATCTCTCACTCTCTATGCTAATCCACTATCACTGTGCTAAAGAGAAATTCACACTTGTTCAGACTTGTTAGTTTGGTGATTCTCTTTTGAAAATCTTAATTTGGTTCTAAAAATACCTGATTGTAGGTACTGTTATAGATGGCAGCGATCACAGGTTTGTCATGTGACATGACACGATCCCGAATCTCTGCCTTCATTTCCATCATAGTCAGCTGGTAATTAAATGTGATGAGCAAGCGATTCTTCTCAAGCCCACTTCTCTCTCTTTGTTCATCAAAATACAGGCAGCTGTAGACTGTGGTAAAGAAATATACACTTTTTACAAATCTGTAGTGAAATATGGACAAAATGAAGATAAAATACACAAATATCTGATGTTTTTAAGAGTAGTACTATCTTATGTGATTTGCTGATACCAAGGATACATTCATTTTTACAAATCTTTGATAAACAAAAATTAATGCAAATAAATCTACATTCAGAACTGATTGTTTCACCACTTCCAGTAACTTTGCAAACATTCATATCCAACACACCCTCTGGGTCCTTGGGAGCATGCCTGCTCTACCCACCTTCTGGCTCCATTAGGTACATTTGAAATTCAATCCACCTTCCAGATTTCTGGTGAAAATTTTGAATCAACCCACCTTTTCCTCCCTCCATAGACCATTTTGGCTCATTAACCCATCATTTGCACTCTAGGAACCATTTTGACTCAACCCATCTTCTTCCCACTAATGCACATATGTACTCATGTGCCCCTTCTAACCACTTGGTAACATTTTGATTCAACCCACTTTCTGGTCCCTTAGGGAATATTTTGATTCAACCCACCGTCTGGTCCTTTAGGGAACATTTTGATTCAACCCACCTTCTGGTCCTTTAGGGAACATTTTGATTCAACCCACCTTCTGGTCCTTTAGGGAACATTTTGATTCAACCCACCTTCTGGTCCTTTAGGGAACATTTTGATTCAACCCACTTTCTGGTCCTTTAGGGAACATTTTGATTCAACCCACTTTCTGGTCCCTTAGGGAATATTTTGATTCAACCCACCGTCTGGTCCTTTAGGGAACATTTTGATTCAACCCACCTTCTGGTCCTTTAGGGAACATTTTGATTCAACCCACTTTCTGGTCCTTTAGGGAACATTTTGATTCAACTCACTTTCTGGTCCTTTAGGGAACATTTTGATTCAACCCACCTTCTGGTCCTTTAGGGAACATTTTGATTCAACCCACCTTCTGGTCATTTAGGGAACATTTTGATTCAACCCACTTTCTGGTCCTTTAGGGAACATTTTGATTCAACCCACTTTCTGGTCCTTTAGGGAACATTTTGATTCAACCCACCTTCTGGTCCTTTAGGGAACATTTTGATTCAACCCACTTTCTGGTCCTTTAGGGAACATTTTGATTCAACCCACCTTCTGGTCATTTAGGGAACATTTTGATTCAACCCACCTTCTGGTCCTTTAGGGAACATTTTGATTCAACCCACTTTCTGGTCCTTTAGGGAACATTTTGATTCAACCCACCTTCTGGTCCTTTAGGGAACATTTTGATTCAACCCACCTTCTGGTCCTTTAGGGAACATTTTGATTCAACCCACCTTCTGGTCCTTTAGGGAACATTTTGATTCAACCCACCTTCTGGTCCTTTAGGGAACATTCCTGCAAGTCTCTGTATACAAACTTGGAGCTGAACATCCCAGATCCTCAAGACTTTGTCCTTAGAGAAACTAATCAGCTGAGCACGACTCTTCATGAAGTGCACCTGTATCACACTTGCCATGTGACCTCTGAGCACCTGTAGCAAAAGGTCAACCAAAGGTCAAAGGCCATGCAACTAAGGATAGACTGAAATCATTATGCATGCGTAGAAGATCTTGTGGTAACTGGTCTTTTGGATACAAAAACTTAAAAACCTACGAGCAAAAAAAAGAAAAACACAAAAAAAAAACCTATTTCAAGAAAATGATATTTACAGTATAAGCTAGGTTTAAATAAATCAGCACTCTGGTTAACTTTAAATTCAATTTGCTATCACTTCTACTGCAATCCTACAATAACAACATATTTGCATTTATTAGTGGTATTGTTTGATTTCAAGAAAAAACAAGGTCAAGTATCAATAAGGTTTATGTTAGACAGGTCAAAGTTTGATTAATTTGAAATACATACCCCGTTTGGTTTGGAGACTACATATGGATTCCAAAGACAGACATGGTGATTCACACCAGCTGTGGCTGAAACAGGAGATGTGACATATAACTATACATCACACACTCATCAAACAGAGCAGCCAGGCCATCAGACAAACCCCTAACATGGTCCATAGCTCACATGTGTGTGTATATTACATTCATATCATTTTTTAAGCCCCTGTGATTATGTGGCAAATTAGATCTCAGATATTTATGTTTTTACATAAATCTTCCATATTGATCATAATTTCAAAATTCCTCCTAAATAAAGTCATTTATTTTAAAGAAGTTTAAAAATAATGTTTTTATAATAACTAATCAGTGGCCAGACCATCTGTCCTAAAAGCTTCAAGTTCCTGGAAGTTCATAGCTAGAATCAGATGCATGAAAATGAACCAAGGGCCATAACTCTGTAAATATAGATGGAGTACATGATTTGATATCAGTATGTGATGCTCCTCCATTCCAAGACATAATTGTAAAGAGAATATAAATTGTGGATGGCAAAGAAGGGGCATAACTCTGTCAGTAACTGATTTATAATTTGACACCCGGAGTCCTCTAAAGTGATACTCACACACTGACTAAAGTTGGTACATCACATTTCAAAAGTAAACTTTAATGTTTGTGTTGGTTCTTCTATTTTTTAGTTTTTAAATTTAATTAAAAAACAAAAGAAGAAAAAAAATTCATTTCAATAATTAAACTTTAATTATTTTCAAAATTTTTCTTTTTGGTTTTAAATTCAATTACCGGTAAAAAATAAAATTTAAAAAAATATCATAATCAGCATATTATGATAAATTATGAAGAAAAAAATAAGAAAATCTTTCCGTGACAATTTTTATGATTTTATCAAACAATCCACAAATTTGTTGTAAGTAAACAAATTCTGTAGGATACATTGAGGATTGTTTTCAGAGTATATTTCTACTTTTCTATCATTTTTCTGAATTTAGACAGTATCACTTTTAGAGCTACTTACCTATGAGGTTAAGTGTTTGATTGTAATCAAATGCATTGATTCCCTGTGATATGTGAAACTCAGACCTAAAAATAGAAGTAAATACAGGTGAGAAGGAGTATAAAGAGTCAAGATCCCAGGAACACAGAATTTTCCACTAAAACAGTTTTTCTTTGGAAATATTTCTTTCAACAGAATTTGTATAATGTATCTGTTTTTACACTTAATAAATTTCAAAATTAAGATACGCCCAATATCCATTGTACATTAACTCTGAATTGGGAGAAACAAGACATATGTAAATCAAATGAATATTTCTTTCTTTATCTTACATTTGGGGTGCTGGTAGGGGATTCAATTTTTGAAAGGAAAATTGTGGGAAAGTGACCTTTAAACAAGAGTGATATGTATGTAAATGAATTCAGTTTTAAAGATTTAAGATTTGAATATTTGAATCAATAACAATGACATTAAGAACAAAACGATTAATATAAAATACACTAGTAAGTAAGATATATATTGGTAAAATCTTATTGAAATATATTTGTCAAACAAAAAATAGAAGACATGGTACAAATAGAATGCAGGTACAAAATAAATATATACACTTGATAATATTTAAGGTGTAACATCAGTGTTTGAAAGTGAGCGATACATTACATGAACAGAGACATGACAGTGATGGATACATTACATTAACAGGGACATGACATAGACAGATACATTACATTAACAGAGACATGACAACGATGGATACATTACATTAACAGGGACATGACATAGACAGATACATTACATTAACAGAGACATGACAACGATGGATACATTACATTAACAGGGACATGACATAGACAGATACATTACATTAACAGAGACATGACAACGATGGATACATTACATTAACAGGGACATGAAAGAGACAGATACATTACATTAACAGGGACATGACAACAATGGATACATTTCATTACCAGGGACATGAAAGAGACAGATACATTACATAAACAGGGACATGAAAGAGACAGATACATTACATTAACAGGGACATGACATAGACAGATACATTACATTAACAGAGACATGACAACGATGGATACATTACATTAACAGGGACATGAAAGAGACAGATACATTACATTAACAGGGACATGACAACGATGGATACATTTCATTACCAGGCATATGAAAGAGACAGATACATTACATAAACAGGGACATGAAAGAGACAGATATATTACATTAACAGGGACATGACAGCAACGGATACATTACATTAACAGGGACATGGCAGTGATGGATACATTACATTAACAGGGACATGACAGTGATGGATACATTACATTAACAGGGACATGAAAGAGACAGATACATTACATTAACAGGGACATGACAGTAATTGATACATTACATTAACAGGGACATGACAACGATGGATACATTACATTAACAGGGACATGACATAGACAGATACATTACATTAACAGGGACATGACAACGATGGATACATTACATTAACAGGGACATGACATAGACAGATACATTACATTAACAGGGACATGACAACGATGGATACATTACATTAACAGGGACATGACATAGACAGATACATTACATTAACAGGGACATGACAACGATGGATACATTACATTAACAGGGACATGACAGTGATGGATACATTACATTAACAGGGACATGAAAGAGACAGATACATTACATTAACAGGGACATGATACATTACATTAACAGGGACATGACATAGACAGATACATTACATTAACAGGGACATGACAGTGATGGATACATTACATTAACAGGGACATGAAAGAGACAGATACATTACATTAACAGGGACATGACAGTAATTGATACATTACATTAACAGAGACATGACAACGATGGATACATTACATTAACAGGGACATGAAAGAGACAGATACATTACATTAACAGGGACATGACAACGATGGATACATTTCATTACCAGGGACATGAAAGAGACAGATACATTACATAAACAGGGACATGAAAGAGACAGATACATTACATTAACAGGGACATGACATAGACAGATACATTACATTAACAGGGACATGACAGTGATGGATACATTACATTAACAGGGACATGACAGTAATTGATACATTACATTAACAGGGACATGACAACGATGGATACATTACATTAACAGGGACATGACATAGAAAGATACATTACATTAACAGGGACATGACAACGATGGATACATTTCATTAACAGGGACATGAAAGAGACAGATACATTACATAAACAGGGACATGAAAGAGACAGATACATTACATTAACAGGGACATGACAGCAATGGATACATTACATTAAAAGGGACATGGCAGTGATGGATACATTACATTAACAGGGACATGACAGTGATGGATACATTACATTAACAGGGACATGGCAGTGATGGATACATTACATTAACAGGGACATGACATAGACAGATACATTACATTAACAGGGACATGAAAGAGACAGATACATTACATTAACAGGGACATGGCAGTGATGGATACATTACATTAACAGAAATGTTGCATTATCAAGATCATATAATCAGCATTGTATGATTATTTGATTTTTTCCAGTTTATGATTCATTGACCATTATGTTAATTGATTCTGAACAGACAGAAAATGCACAACATAATTTATAGTCTAAACTACCTTAATATTTATGATGGAAAATAAAACTGTTGTTTATTTCATAAATTATTTCATATTACATTCCTAAATGATATTGTATAGTTGTGAAATGGTGCCACTGTACATGTCTATAAAATGTATCAGTGAGCTCAAAACAGCATGCTTGATACAGTGTGCTTAACATGCTTAACTGAACGGTGCTATAGACTTGTATGTGTTTCGTACAATCTTTCAATATGACATGCTACATTCTCTACATTTATGCGCCACAAAACAAAAACTATTGACAACAACAATGGATGTAACCATCAATAATTAACCTTTTATCCCTCAAGAATAACGAGAGTTTTCATGATCCAAAGTTCTGGGTCAGTCAAATGCTTTATACAACGGTGATCAGATGATCTAATTATATCAGTGGTATGTTCTATAAAAATACTGTACAAACAAAAAAACACCTGGTGAAAACTAATGAACATTTCTATAGAAGCAACTTAAACACACAGTGTACATAACATGTGTTACATCATACCTTTTCAAAATTCTGTTTGAAAAATTAAGGAAATCTAATTACAAGGATCTCTAAATCATTTCACAATTCCTACTCAGGATTTTGTTTCAAATTTAAAAAATAATCATTTGAATATTTACACACAAATCTAGCGTATTGAATACTCATTTACAGGAGTATTACTGGTAATAACTGATTTCCATTTAAACATTTGAAACCATAAAACCAAATCCATCCACATGGAGGAGAAGTGGGATCCATTTCATCGTGGTACTACAGATATTAGTCTTGTTATAATTCTGCGTGAAAAGTGTAAACTTTTCCTGTTTCTAAATTATAAATCCTGCATTTATTTCAACTAATCATAAAAATAAACTAACATCAATTATGTTAAAAACAAAAAGAAAATTGAAGGTAGTGACATCATATATTGACTTTGAACATCAATTCTGCTAATTGATAAACACATATAACAATTTCAGACACATTTCTTGGTAGTGAAAAATTTGATTATGGAAATGAAAAATGAAAGTGACCAAATACATGGCAAATTTTAAGTTGAACAAAATATATCAAACTTATAAAATGGAATTGATTCTCTTCTGTAAAGCAAATTATAAATTTCAAATTGACAGAATAATTCAAAAGAGATCAAAAACGTTAATAAAAAGTTGAAATGTACATAATCTGCAATAGGCCACAGGTTACCAACATCTTATCTAAGACACAAATTAGGGGCCCAGGGTACCAATACATTATCTCTGACTCAAATTAGGGAGCCCAGGGTACCAATATATTATCTCTGACTCAAACTAGGGGCCCAGGGTACCAATACATTATCTCTGACTCAAACTAGGGGCCCAGGGTACCAATACATTATCTCTGACTCAAACTAGAGAGCCCAGGGTGCCAATATATTATCTCTGACTCAAACTAGGGAGCCCAGGGTACCAATATATTATCTCTGACTCAAACTAGGGAGCCCAGGGTACCAATACATTATCTCTGACTCAAACTAGGGAGCCCAGGGTACCAATACATTATCTCTGACTCAAACTAGTACCAATATATTATCTCTGGAGCCCAGGGTACCAATACATTATCTCTGACTAGGGAGCCCAGGGTACCAATACATTATCTCTGGGAGCCCAGGGTACCAATACATTATCTCTGACTCAAACTAGGGAGCCCAGGGTACCAATACATTATCTCTGACTCAAACTAGGGGCCCAGGGTACCAATACATTATCTCTGACTCAAACTAGGGAGCCCAGGGTACCAATATATTATCTCTGACTCAAACTAGGGGCCCAGGGTACCAATACATTATCTCTGACTCAAACTAGACTCAAACTAGGGGCCCAGGGTACCAATACATTATCTCTGACTCAAACTAGGGGCCCAGGGTACCAATACATTATCTCTGACCCAGGGAGCCCAGGGTACCTATACATTATCTCTGACTCAAACTCATACATTATCTCTCTCAAACTAGAGCCAGGGTGCCAATATATTATCTCTGACTCAAACTAGGGGCCCAGGGTACCAATACATTATCTCTGACTCAAACTAGGGAGCCCAGGGTACCAATACATTATCTCTGACTCAAACTAGGGGCCCAGGGTACCAATACATTATCTCTGACTCAAACTAGAGAGCCCAGGGTGCCAATATATTATCTCTGACTTAAATTAGGCAGCCCAGGGTACCAATACATTATCTCTGACTTAAATTAGGCAGCCCAGGGTACCAATACATTATCTCTGACTCAAACTAGGGAGCCCAGGGTACCAATACATTATCTCTGACTCAAACTAGGGGCCCAGGGTACCAATATATTATCTCTGACTCAAACTAGGGGCCCAGGGTACCAATACATTATCTCTGACTCAAACTAGGGAGCCCAGGGTACCAATACATTATCTCTGACTCAAACTAGGGAGCCCAGGGTACCAATATATTATCTCTGACTATTATCTCTGACTCAAACTAGGGAGCCCAGGGTACCAATACATTATCTCTGACTCAAACTAGGGAGCCCAGGGTACCAATACATTATCTCTGACTCAAACTAGGGAGCCCAGGGTACCAATACATTATCTCTGACTCAAACTAGGGAGCCCAGGGTACCAATACATTATCTCTGACTCAAACTAGGGAGCCCAGGGTACCAATACATTATCTCTGACTCAAACTAGGGGCCCAGGGTACCAATACATTATCTCTGACTCAAACTAGGGAGCCCAGGGTACCAATACATTATCTCTGACTCAAAAATTAGGGGCCCAGGGTACCAATACATTATCTCTGACTCAAACTAGGGAGCCCAGGGTACCAATACATTATCTCTGACTCAAACTAGGGAGCCCAGGGTACCAATACATTATCTCTGACTCAAACTAGGGAGCCCAGGGTACCAATACATTATCTCTGACTCAAACTAGGGAGCCCAGGGTACCAATACATTATCTCTGACTCAAACTAGGGGCCCAGGGTACCAATACATTATCTCTGACTCACACTAGGGAGCCCAGGGTACCAATACATTATCTCTGACTCAAACTAGGGAGCCCAGGGTACCAATACATTATCTCTGACTCAAACTAGGGAGCCCAGGGTACCAATACATTATCTCTGACTCAAACTAGGGAGCCCAGGGTACCAATACATCATCTCTGACTTAAATTAGGCAGCCCAGGGTACCAATACATTATCTCTGACTCAAACTAGGGAGCCCAGGGTACCAATACATTATCTCTGACTCAAACTAGCCCAGGTTACCAATACATTATCTCTGACTTAAATTAGGCAGCCCAGGGTACCAATACATTACCTCTGACTCACATTTGGGAGTTACCCTGCACACATATACTACAATGACATGAGAATTCCCATTTGAAAATACCTGAATAATGAGGAATCCCAACTGAGAATGTGTTTGTATGTCTGCCACATTTGATCATCTCAACAAAACTTAATACAGAGGTGATTCTTGGTTGTTTTTCATGCCGGTTTGACAGAAACACAGAGCTATCAGTTTGGATTTTACCATAGGGTGATAACCTATATGACGTCTTTATAACGAAAGTGATACAGATGAAGTGAATTTTAGTTCCTACCATTTGGTGAAGTATTTATAAACTATCATGAAATTAGATATAGATGGGCTTATTACCGGGCATGGGCTTATTGCTAAAAAAAAGGGTCAATGGCTGATATCAGTAAAACTATCATATATAACCTGGAACAAATCCAACACATCACCTCAGGCACCAAGTCAGGAGTTACAGGCTTATAATAGGGAAATGAGTCTGTATTTGTTCTGACAGCAATTTATATGGGTGAGATTATCACCAGGCATCACCTTATTGTTAAATAAATAATTTATAATAAAAGTAGCTTTATAGACCAGGAAATTATTTCTTATTATCTATTTCTTTTTTTCTTTATTTTTTTCCTGATGTTGATTCTAGCTCCATCTGATATAATTATTTGTCTCTTCAGCAAAATTTGCCAAAATTTTATTTTTTCAATCTTTAGACTTCAATAATTTACTATTAAAGCATCCTTTTAAATTTTAACAAAGATTTATTTCTCAGCCACTAAAAACGTGTTCCTGATATTTCACAGGTGTTTTTAGATCCATATTTAAAACTTTTCACAAATCATTTTGAGTACCCTAGGTTGTTAGATAAACACCAATTAGTCCCACTGTCTTAAGTCACAAAATAATCGTACATATTTCCAAATCAAATAGCTTAACAATTGTAAACTTACTTTCGTAATATTTCCTTGCTAATCTGTTGATTTCTGGAAAAGAAAAAAATAGTTTTAATTCATATATGTTCTACAGATATTAGCTGTATAATTGAGGATAGTTGTTCGTGCTTTAAGTATTGTTGAGTTTCTATCAAAAAATAACTTTAGAATAAATAAAAAGATAAAATCCATTTAAAATATTTATGACAAATTAAATCTTACACACACATATAGTTGGTGAATTTGTGATATCTGATTGTCTCAAAATCATTAATAATTTGCGTCAAATGAAAAAAAAATAATATGTAAAAACTCAAAATCACTGAACACATGTGTCAGAACCTTTTCAAACTGTAGATAATGATGTCAGCTAAAGAGCATTATAGAGGTACAAATCAAACTTAATTGACTTACTTGCTATGAGTAACATCTAGAACAGATAACAAAAAGCTGACATTCTTTTTCCTAGCTTGAAGTAACAAGGCAATCACAGAACAAAAATTGACTTACTTGCTAAAAGTATAAGAGTAGACTGCACAAGTCTGACTTTCACTTACTTGCTAGAAAAAAACATCATACAGAGAGCAAAATTAACAAAACAGACTTACTTGCTAGGAGTTACAGACGTGTGTTTCTCCATCCAACCTATCACCATGGAGTTAATATTTGTTGTAGCACAACTGATGAAACATTCAAGGTACTGAGAGTAACGCACTGGAAATATACAAAATATGAACTGATGAAACGTTCAAGGTACTGAGAGTAACGCACGGGAAATATACAAAGTATGAACTGATGAAACTTTTGAGGTACTGAGAGTAACGCACGGGAAATATACAAAGTATGAACTGATGAAACTTTTGAGGTACTGAGAGTAACACACTGGAAATATACAAAGTATGAACTGATGAAACTTTTGAGGTACTGAGAGTAACGCACGGGAAATATACAAAGTATGAACTGATGAAACTTTTGAGGTACTGAGAGTAACGCACGGGAAATATACAAAGTATGAACTGATGAAACTTTTGAGGTACTGAGAGTAACGCACTGGAAATATGTAAAGTAACAACATAATTCATCTTTGTAGTACAGGAATGTACATGATAGATATGGGGTTATCTGCTTGACGGGTTTTGTCCTGGTACTCTGGTTTCCTCCAACAACAGTAAGTCTACTTCGTACTCTTCTATTCAAGCCAGCAAGGGTGATTAATATAATTTAGAAAAAAACTTGTTTGGCAATTGTTGGAAAATTTATAAATAAAGTTTATTGGAGAGGTATGGACTGATTGGGAGATATGAGATGTTATATATTGGAAATACCACTAGAATGACTGTGGTGATTGATGTCTCTGACCACTCACCCTGTCTCACCCACTCCTTTTTGTGTGCCTCGTGGACAGTATACTTGGCGTTTTTGTACGTCTGTTCCCCAATCACATCCTGTAGCTGGACACTCAGACATGGCTCTGAATATCACAAAATAATCATTAATGAAAACCGATCTGTGACCCGACAGTTAACTTAAAATCATTTTTATGGAAGTTTTATTGTCATCGATTTCAAGGAAACAAAATGTATGTATATATAAGCATGTAAAAACAAACGAATGCCCGACTTGACCTTAAAAGGGCAAAGGTCAATAATTCCTGTTAGACCTTAGAGGATTTTTATTTTAAGTTCACTTTTCCACATAGATACACTTTTTATATGTACATGTGTAAAGATTGTACCTAACAGAAGTGTATATTATTTGTTTTTTATTCTTCTATATATAGGTAATACATATCACCATCTATATACAATAAGGATTGTAACCTAAGGTACATCAGATACAACTATATACAGTATATATTATCAATGACTGACTCAGGTTTTACAATGGAAATAATTGTTACAAAACTATGCCTTTAATTATCTTCAGATATAAAGAACTTGATTCCTATGTGAAGACTTGTTTATCTCTCAAATATCATAATATATTCTTTTTTTAATCTCTCTCTATTTATTTATTTCTCATTAAAATATATAACTAGAAACTATAAGGTGTCTAGAAAATTGTGCTCTTTAATCATAGTCAATTACAACCATGGAAAACTGCTACAACTTGTAAACAGTAGCTACAATGGTCATTATATACTGTCAGGCCCAGCTGTTAAAAGGTAATTTCTAAAAGTTTTTTATTGTTGAGACAAAATCACTATCTCTTTATATGTCTATAAATTTCACAAATTAATCAGTATCTTCTGCAACTGTTTTATGATCTTTCTATCAGGAGAACCAGAACCATTTCTAAACAACTACATATCATAGGTGTATCATATAAGTATATTTTATCTCACATCAAAAGTAAAACAAAGTCTACCTCAATAATCTTGATAAATAAACCTTTATTGACAGCTATTTACGATTGTTTGTTAGACTGTAGTGACGGGAATGGTTTGAAGCTGGACAATCAACGCTGATAATCTATACTAGCACATGCACTAAATAAAAAGCATTGAGTTAGAAAATAAAATCTTCTATCAGCTGATTATATTTAAACACAATATGCTCAAGCTATGAAGCAGTGTAAACACATTATTTGGATTCTCATTCTATTCGAAGTTGGTGGACATCTGGCAATTGAATTAGTGTTGTCTTCATCATCAGGTATTTGTGATTTAAATCTAGCGACATATTTCATGAAATACATGAAAATGATGTTATATAACTATATTTCCTGTTATATTTTGACACTCAATCACACCAAACACCAGTATCATCTATAACAAACTGAAGGTATGTGTCAGTCAAAGTCAGATAAAGGCGGTTTTTTCTAAGTCTATATCACTAGCTATGTCCAGATTGACAGGTAAAGATTTTCCACAAACCACAACTAAACTAGATATTTGTACAATAAGGCATCAGTACTAAAGGGCTACCACAACTAAAACTAATTTTATCATAATTTCACACAAAACATTGAAGACTTTGTACTACTGGTGTCTTTAAGGACCATCTTATAGTAGATTTGTGTTTATATAACCTCAGTGTTAATACTCTATAAATGATTCTTTGTTGGCAAAAATATTGAAAGTGATACGTAAGGAAGTTTAATAATACAAAGGGATGGGATCATAAATAATATAGGATCTACAGGGGATTGATTGATTGATTGATTGATTCAGATTGATTGATTGAAATTGATTGATTGATTGATTTTTTATAGATAGATAGATTGATTGATTGATTTTTTATAGATTGATTGATTGATTGATTGATTTTTATAGATTGATTGATTGATTAATTGATTGATTGATTAGTTGATTGATTGATTGATTGATTGATTGATTGATTGATTAATTGATTGATTGATTGATTGATTGATTGATTGATTGATTAATTGATTGATTGATTGATTGATTGATTGATTGATTAATTGATTGATTGATTGATTAGTTGATTTTTGATTATTGATTGATTGATTGATTAATTGATTGATTGATTGATTCATTGATTGATTGATTGATTGATTTTTTATTAATTGATTGATTGATTGATTGATTGATTGATTGATTGATTTTTTATAGATTGATTGATTGATTGATTGATTGATTCAGATTGATTGATTGATTGATTTTTTATAGATTGATTGATTGATTGATTGATTGATTGATTGATTGATTTTTTATAGATTGATTGATTGATTGATTGATTTTGATTAGTTGATTAATTGATTGATTGATTTTTATAGATTGATTGATTGATTGATTTTTTATAGATTGATTGATTGATTGATTGATTTTTATAGATTGATTAATTGATTGATTGATTGATTGATTAATTGATTGATTGATTGATTGATTGATTGATTGAGATTGTTTGATTGATAGAGAGATTGATTGATTGATTGATTGATTGATTGATTGATTGATTGATTGATTGATTGATTGATTGATTGATTGATTGATTGATTGATTGATTGATTGATTGATTGATTTAGAGATTGATTGATTGATTGATTGATTGATTTAGAGATTGATTGATTGATTGATTCAGATTGATTGATTGATTGATTGATTGATTGATTGATTGATTGATTTTGATAGATAGATTGATTGATTGATTGATTGATTCAAATATACTCTGTTTAATTAAAAATGTGATGAAATCATCTACAGTGTATGTGTCAATTAAAGTTGTGTATATAAAGATGAAATCATTCAATACAGAAATCTGGAGACAGTTTAAATTATTCTTTACCTTGGAATAATTGTCTGAATCTTTATTATCAATTACACTACACATCTATAACATTATATAACACACAGCCTCACTTTTAGTAAATCTAGGGTAGAAAAGAAAAGGTTGTCTTTATAATAACCTTACTCACCTCGAGGTGTAAACACTTTGACATCATAAATAAAACAAGCAACTCAAGTGCCCCCAAAGTTATATCAACATGGTAAAACACTATTTATTATACCACATAAAGTAACTTTATTGGGATTACAGACTAATGGGCAGATTATTTTGTATAAATGGGTATGTTAACCACTAACACTATCACTAACAGCTAATTATAGCAATACTCACCTTGCCAAGCTGTATGTGTGCAGAAAGTGCAAAGGTTAGGGTTCAAAGGTCAAAACGGCAACGAAAAAAGCAGATGTATATATTTGATTAATTTCATAGTATGAGCATATCATTTGTTAAAATTATAATTACATTAAACAGGTATTAATTAATTATTAATGAATTGTTAATGTGCATTAACTTATTTCCATGGAAACCTGTGAACATTTTAAGGTCATGCAGTCAAAAAGAGATTCAACAAGAGGTAATATATATGTTTATATATCTAGTAATGTATTTACTAATAAACATAAATTAAGTAATATCTTAGATTTTACATTACATTTTTATGTACTGAAATTGTTTGTTAAATGAAATATCTAAACACACAAGTCTATGGCTTTTTTTCACTTTTTTTTTCAATTTTGAAATGAAAATTTCAAGATTTAAATATTTTACATTGATTTTTTTTCAGGTATTAAAATATTTTGTCCATAGCAATCTGATATAAACATATTTAATCACAAAGACAATTACATCTTTATATATATCAAAAAGTATTCGAGATTTGTCAGGGATATGGTATTCAAAACTTGAAATATATGTTTATTACAAGTTGAAATACACAGTATTGACTTGCCTGGGAGTGAAAACAGTAGAAAACTGGAGATATAAAACTCTTGATGGTGATGTTACAGTGGATACTAATTCTATTCATATTTGTGTTTAATACAGCTAACTTCTACCTCACATTTTATAATAAAATACATAATTCAAGTGAAAAAAGAAGAAAAACAAAGGTATGTTTCCCAAAATCTTCAAATTGACATTAGCTGAAATGTTACATTGGTGGTTACCACATTTACTGAATGAAATCTAAAAGTGGAGACCTGACATAAGAAACTTGATCCATACAAGGGAGACAACTTTGTCTTCCTTAAAATTCTTCAACAAAGTTTCCATGCAAAACTGAATGCACTTTATACAAATAGTTATTAACAAATATGAGCATAATTAAAAAATGTTCACCAACATTTCACAAAGATGTACCATTTCTTAAGTTGCCTTTTGTACATTAAATGTATTCTCTGTCATCTTTAATGAATGTCATTGATACAATGTAGCTAGCTAATTAAACAGCTGTGCAGGATAAAATAGCACTAACAAACAATAGAATCAAACAATCAGACTCTATTTGAAAGTGAAATTATAAAAAAAAAATTAAAAGTGTCAAAATATCAAATTTGAAGAAAATTGAAGACTAAAATATTTACATGTATGTATGTGGTTTTTCACCAATACACACTGTGCTATTTCCTTATTTCAGGACAGCAATATAAAGATTGACACTCCATCCCAATTCTTTATTTAGAAGCATACAACTTCATGGAGATTATATGGTAGTCTGACTAACACAACATCTTGATCTACCTCTGTTTTCTTAAATTTCACTCTGATATGTCAAGAGAAAAGTTTACAAAACCAGAGAACAGATCAAGATATGGTTTTAATAAGATTTCTCATATGATTATTAACATAAATGATTAGTTACTGAAAATATTATCTATACTTTGTGAAATGTTTCAGTTTATTGAAAATTATATACTGATTTGAAATATATTTTTAGAAGTTTTTATTCCTTTTGAATATATTTCAAGCAAATACATAGCTAAGTGCATTGTTATCACTGACATAAAGCAAAGCAGTGGTGACCAGTGCAAATATACATGGTGTTCATAAATATAATTCTGATTTTCTATCAGCTGAGTATATTATAACTAGCATATATTGTCAACAACAACAAATTCTTAAGTTACAGCCAATGATATGAGATTAATGTTTATAGACAAAAATATCAAACTAATTGAAAAACTGCATAAAGAATTCCTAAAATCCTAATGATTATAAATTTTGTTTGAAAAAATGAATCATTGATATTAAAGATTATATCAAAATCGATTAAAGATTTCAAAGATTTTTTTTCAACATCTTTTTTCTTTTGTAAACAAAACCATACAGTAAACAATCATTTGAAATGAGTAGTAAAAAGTAATCAGTTATGTTCCTCTCATTCTGACAATGACTTGTTTGCAAAATATTATCTAACACCTATTATACAGGATGTGCAGATGGCGTAGTGGTAATGTACTCAATCTTCACCTATCTGTCCTGGGTTTGTTTCCCCGCACATACATGAAAAGGTGTCAACTTATCGACCATGTGGGTTTTCCCCTAGTACTCTGGTTGCCTCCCACAGAAAGACCCCTCCCATGCTTCAATCCGTGCCAACTAGAATGATTAGCATAAGCTTGAATCTTGTTTCACAGTTGTGAGATAAATAATCTGAATGTTTTTATCTACCTTCATTATCAGCCCAATTTGAAAACACAATAGCTATTCAACTACCTAATCATCACAGACGATTTAAAACCACTGTTACAGTAGACTGTGTAGATGTGTTCTCTCAGGAAACAAAAATAAAGCTCACCTTTATGATGTATTTCTGAGAAAATCTGTTGGTTAGCTGGTATTTATAACATTTTATCTTAAAATGATGGATATAATCTCTTCATATTGTTCTTTTTTTTTTGTGTGTTTTTTTTTTTTTTTTTTGTAAAATATCGCAAATACTACTAACACTTCTATGTGTCCATAGTTTTTTTTTCCTTCTGGCTTTTGACCTGTTGACCTTTGGATGTACCAATACTGATATTTCTTTCCTAAAACTTTTCATTACATAAACCTCTCTGACTTTAAGACATATAATTCAAGTAGCAACATTCATTGATTTCTCTATATCAAAGAAACATGAAAGTTGGTTTACAAATTTGAAACATCACTAATATTATATATCTTTTTAAATGTGTTTGAAGAACTGGGCCCGTATTCATGAAACCATTCTCATGCTCAAGCATAGATTTTGTGCTCAAGCAAACTTTTTTATGATTCACCTAAATCATATAAAATAATAAAAATGTCAAATGTAAACATTGAATATAACTTTGACTTGAATTCCTTTCAAAAATGTTTTCAAATCTATGGCAAAATCAGCCTTATTTATTATTTTTTAATATAAACAAGACATAAGGCTTGAGCACAAAATTCATGCTTGAGCATGAGAGCGGTTTCATGAATACGGGCCCTGGTTAACTGCTAGGCTGCCCTGATGACTGAAATTTCCTAAAATATATCTAACAGAATCATTGAATAAATTTTGCTGAAAAAAAATCTTTGAACTTTTCACATGTAGATAAATACCATGATAATAAAAAAAATTGTTTCCCTTTAGAATATATCACATGCTAATCCTACTCAAAGCAGTTGTTAAAAACACAAACAGTTTTTTTCAACACTAATAAAACTTTAAAAAATATAAATAAGACGAAAAAGAATCACTAACAAAGACAGGAATTATTAAAAGAGTAGAGAAATGATGGAGAGACAGTAAATGGAAAAAGGATCACTTAGGCAAAAAAACCTCAGCACACCATTATCTATAATTTATATACCACTGGCTGCAAGAAAAATTAAAACGTATAATTTGTTAGATAATATTGATTAGTTCATTTCAGAATTAATGTTAGTTGAACATTTTGTTATGTTTGTAAGATTTTCATGTTAACCAGGTAAAGTCCAGCAGTAGTGATAGTGTCAAATACACATGCAATTGAAATTAAAAAATATGTAAAGTGTTCAATTCTATAAAGACCTGTACATGTATCAGGTGTGGTGGATCACAGCCAATAAATACTCTTTTTATTACATTAGTATGTATACACAGAGGAAGGACATCTGTAACCACAATGATTAGTGAATTCAGCACACACACAACATGGCATTTGTTACACCAGTAACGAAAGGTAGATAACATAGAGTAACGAAAGGGAGATAACACAGAGTAACCAAAGGGAGATAACATAGAGTAACCAAAGGGAGAT